ATATTCTCTGTCTCTGAAGCTCTAAACTGTCACGACTCGATTCCTCTCATCACCTCAGCTCCACTATAATTAGCATGTTAGCTTAGCGCCAACATGCTAATTATAGAGCTCTTGTCAGTCAGACAGGCTGCGGCTCAAAGCTGCGTTCAAGTCAGCGACACTTTTCTTTCCTAACACAAACTGAACAAAGTCAAATAAAAGTGAATTTATGTAACGTGTGTTTTTACAAGAAATGAAACTAATGAAAAAAAATAAAGTTTGGTTCATCTTCTGTTTACAAGAGATTTTAAAACTTTACCTTCCACGAGTTTCTCATGTTCCTCAGTCGCACTTTGACTTTTCTGTTCGTGCAGAACGTTTAAATCTGCTGTCGTCTCCGTTTTCACCTGAAGAATAACAACGACACCAGATTAAAATTAAAACTTTATCATCTGAACACTGAAAAACATCGGAGGAGAATAAAACAAGCAGAGACGTCCAGGATGTGACGACTGCTTTAATCAATTCATTATTCATATGACATCATTTTCATTGAAGAAAAAGAAAAATCATCCGTAGGATCAGAGAGTTTCATGCTTTTCTGTCACATGAAGTTAAACTGAAGCTTCTTTATTTTTTATTTCTCCAGAAAATGAAACCAGACAATTCATTTATTTCTGTTGAACAAAAGCCGTCTCCTCGGTTTGTTTCTCATTTTGGACGTTTCATAGAACAAAAGTTTAATGGAGACAGAAACTGACCAATAACGAACATTCACAGTTGCAGTCAATCACCTTATCGAGGATGCTCAGGACGAGGGCGCACACGTCTACGTCGGCGTGGTCTTTCAGAAGCTCCGCCCTCTCCGAGTTCCCATTGGCCAAGAGCACTTCCTTTAAAATCCTCAGCTGCCACTCGAAGCGCTCCAGCTGCTTCTCCAGGAAGACGTCCTGCTCACCTGACGCACTTTTACCTGCAAACAAACCAATCACACGCAGGCGCTGGATTCAAACACACGAGTAACCGTTCAACAGGGAGAGACTCCGCCTAGTGGCACAGTCAGGTACTGCAGAAAACTGCAGCATATTTAGTAAATCAATGTAACTTTTAACAGCAACGAATCGATTAATTATCAACATCTCTAGATATCGTGAATTGTTGAGTTTAAGGTGATTTTATATTAAAAAGATTGTTTCTGTCTCCTCAGGGGTTAACGCACAACTGCACAAAGATATAATGTCATCGTCATGGAAACACACACACACGCACGCACGCACGCACGCACGCAGGCAGGCAGGCAGGCAGGCAGGCAGGAAGCGTTTGTGACTGTAATTAAATTTCAACTTTGCAGTTACATCATCGACGTGTTGAAACATGATCACACACACACACACACAGGTTTGTCTTTCTATAGTTGTGAGGACGCTCATTGACAAAACAGATTCTGTCTCTGCTTATTCTAAACCTCTAACCCCGTGAGGACCAGCGAAGACGTGAGGGGCGGACGTGATGTTCTACAGTTTACACGTGAAGCCGTGTTCACACGTGATACATATCTGAAACACAAATGTATTTATTGTCCAACCCTAAAAAACAGATGATGATCAGCTGCAGGTTCCTGAGTGACTCACAGGCAGGTGACGACAGCCTGTTCCTCTGTGAATGACTGGTTCTGTGCTGCTGTTTAAACTGCTCATAAACAGCAGAGGCTCAATCAAACTTCTCTTCCCTCTCTTCTTCCTCTGTTCTTCCTCTGTTCTTCCTCTTCTTCCTCTCTTCCTCTTTAACCCGTCGTCACCTCTCATGTCTTTCTGTCAGCTGACTCAGGGGGGTTGTTCTGGGGAAACTCCAACAGCTTATAAACACGTCGGTGTAGATCTGCAACTAACAATTACTGCAACTTTTACAAATTCTCCATGATGATCAGTGTGGACGGAGGTTTACAGGTTGTCGCTCTGTCTAATTCAAGAGAAAGTGTCCAGAATGAGATTTTCAATCACAAGCTTCCAGAACTTTTTAAGTTCTCTTCATCATGTGTTGAGTCTCCTCAAGGTGTTAAACCTCCTGGAGAACCTTAAAATCCCATAAAGAAACATGATTGTCTGAAGAACCATAACAGCCTCAAGAACCTTCCTAGAGAACGTCCAGAACCTCCTCACTGATGACCACAACCTCTCAAAAGGACCAGAACCTTCTTAATGACTAAAACTGTCCTGAGAAGCTCAGAGAAAGATGAACCTAAAGAACCTAAAGAACCTCTAGAACCTTCTTAATCACAACTAAACCTATCCAGAGAACATCCTCAATAACCTGAACCTCCAGACTCTGTGAATAATGTGCTGACATGATGAATGAAGTGAAATCAAACCACAACCCAGGTTTCAGAAAACAAGAGAAGGAAACAGGAAGTGAGGCCGTGATGAGAACTGATAAACACGAGTAGATGAAACTCACCTCCGTCATCTCGGCCGCTCTTGTGTTTCTGGCTCTTCTCTCCCTTCTTGCCTTTGCTTTTCTTCTGATAACGACAGGAAGAGAAGAAGATGGAAAGAAAGTTTCAGCAACGTCATCAACAAACATTACGAACAGAATCAGAATCAGTTTGTCATCGTCTTCTGAAATAATTCATATTCATGCACAGTGTGGACTCAAAGGCTCCGCCCACACTGATGTTTAACTTTAAAACTGAAACCACACCCACCCAGATGAATTATTCAACACTAACACGTCACATGACCGTTCACATACACTGGTCATGGAATGTGAACAGGAAGTGTTAGCAACTGTTAAAATCCACACATCAGGTCAGAGCCCCAACAACGAGAACCTGACAGGAACACGAAGCAGGGGCTGCTGGGAGGAAGTGAGCCTGACGTTGTTCTACCCGTGGGGCCCCTCGGAGCCCCGTCAGCAGCAGAGTCCTGGTCCAGGTCTGGTTTACAGTGGAGCGTTGAGTTTTGTTATGAAAGCTGCTGATGGAGGTCGGACTCTGAGCTGCCAGCTTCCCTCTCATTAGTCTCCACATGACTGACTTCACTCTGTGAACGTTACATAACGACTGACAACAGGTCGACTGTCTGTTCACGCTGCTGATCACAGACCAACGTCCCTCCTCCACAACAACAGGCCACGTTTCATCTCAGTTATTATTTCAAAATTGATCAAATCCCAGAAAATCAAAAACCTTCAAGTGTCTTCATGCGACAAAACGTCCCAAACTAAAAAGCTTCAGCAGCTTCCTCCTCTGAGGGACCTTCAACTGTCAATAAAGATGGACGACATGGCAGCTCCGAGAAGTGAAGCCAAATCATCTGGTTCGCCCCCTGGTGTCTGGCTGCAGTATAGATCATAAACCCTCCTCCTCCATGTTAGCAGATGGGACATGGACCAAACTATAAGAATCAAAGCAGACGTTAAATAAATGCTTAAAGATGTTTCTGTCAGTTCAGCTCGTTCTTCTCTCTCTGATGTTTGTTCAGGTGTTTCTGATCAGTTTGGTTTGAATCAGTTATTCAACGTTATAGACGTCATGATTGACAGCTGACACTGGCTCCTGATTGGTCATGCACATGTATGGGCGGTACCTCCAGAGGCTTTGGCTTCAGTTTTTGAAGCTGTCATGTCGTTCTTTATTTATCGTCACAAAGGTTGACACATAAATATTGAAACTAAGAAAATAAAGTCTTAGGATTTTAAAAATTGATAAATCACTCACGTGTTCCACAAATGCACAATGTGCACAAGCCTTGACTAAACACAATGAAATGTTTAGTGTGTTGCCTCACAACTACTCAGGGCTGTCAGTGAAGCCAAACACACACACCCTAAAACACACACACACACACACACACACTATTTAAACACTTATAAACTGGACACTGACTTTATTTGTACTTGGAGCTGAAACAATAAATCTCTCTGGTTAAACATGACTCTGGGAGGAGACGTCCGACTCCTGGTGGGATGAGTGTTTCAGTTTTAGTGTGTGTGTGTGTGTGCGTGTGTGTGTGTGCGTGTGTGTGTGCGGAGGGGGGGCCTCATTTTTAAAACAGCAGTAAATCACAGCAGAGGCTCCTCTCGTCTGTTCGTTCAACTCTTCACCTGAATGCAGCTGAACGTCTCGTTTCACCGCGAAGAAAAAAGTTTCTGAGAGAAGATTTACTTTCTGCAGAGGTTTCACAGGCGTCACCTCATTGGCTGATTCAAACCACTGTGGGAGGAGCTGAGGCCCCCTGTGTGAGTGATGGTGAAATAAACCGATATTTTAAACCACAAAGTAAAAATGGTGAAACAAACACGGCCACACAAGCGGAGCTGAAACAATCATAAAGACAAAGAGTCAGCGTCCACCCACAGGATGTGATGTCATACTCATTACATCCAACACAGGATGATGACACATCACCACATTCGACGACACACACATGACTCCACTGTCTGTTGGTCAACAGCACATTCACATGGTCGGAGCAGAACAAGTGACCTCTGACCTTTCCCCCTCAACAGGAAACGTCCTGTGATTCCTCAGACGAACACTGGTGAGAGGAGACGACAGAGCATCAACATACAGACGACCACACCCTCACAGACATAATGACAGACGAGAAATCTGGTCCCATACACAAATCAGTCTGTTCACGATCGTGTGCGGGTTCTGAGCCGATAAATGTTTATTATCAAACTGTCAAAATAAAAGCAGCAGGACTGACTGTGATCAGCTCCCATTCTTTCAAAATAAAAGCTCCTGATTGTGTGTGTGTGTGTGTGAGTAACAAACATGTTTCTGCATTAATGAGTGTTTTCATCCTTTGGAAAAAAAAAACAGCACAACAGAATAAAGTGGAACTGGATGTGAGACACTTCAAACTTTATGACTTTGACCTCAAACCTCAACCTCAGATTTATTGCGCTTTGATTTTATCTGCTTCTCCGTCTTCTTTTGTCTTCATGAGCTGTGTGACTGTTTCAAATATTCTGGGACTAGTCGAGAAGGGTCGAGATTTAACGTCCTGTGAAGAATCTCTGAGGTTCAACTCACACACGGAGACGAACGGCAGCTCGAACGTGTCAAATGTCTCAGGTCCTTCCTGCAGACAAAAAATTCCAAACATTCGACTGTAGCTTGAACCGCTTCGTCTTTTATGAGGAGGAAAAGTAGAAAGATAAGAAAACGTTTCAGAGTCAGGTCATTAAATAGAATCTATAGAGAAACAACTGCTGTGGTGTGATTCACTTTATTCTTTCTCCGTTTGAAGAATTACGAGCTGCGTTAAAGTCCATTAAAGACAGAAACTCTCATTAGAGTCAGAGGAGGAGGGGGG